TAGCCAAGCCCTGCCTGGACCCCACAGAGAGGAGCTCTGGGAAAATCCGACTGGCCCCAGGATAGTTGATGGCTGGAGAAAGAGGTGGCAGAGTAGATAGAGCACTGGGCTTGGAGTCTTGAAGTCCTGAGTTCTGAGTCTGAGTCCTTCCTCAGACTTTACTATAGTTGGGTGGCCCTGGGTGGGTTACTTTACTGTTCTCAGCCTCAGTTCCCTCATATAAAATTGCTGTAACAGCACATAGCTCACAGGCTTGTCATGAGGATCCTGTGGGATGATATATGTAAAGCTCTTTGCCATCCTTAAAGTGCTATAGAAATGCTGACTATTAGTCTTATTTATGTTATTATCATCATTTCTCCCAGGTGTTGGTGAAGTACAGGTCCTAGGCTCAGTTCTCCAAGTAACTCCAAATTTCCGTTTAATGTCGTTGGTTTAGCCTGCCTTCCTATTGGCCAGCCACAGCCTATTCTCAAACTTGTCCTGCAGCTTTTTGGGCAGAAAGGAACAGGGGCATTTAGAAAATCAAGTCCTTCCCCACCCAAGCCTCCTCAAAGGGAAAAGCAGCCCCGGAGCTGTTCACCCAGTATTCTCTAGGGCTTCCATATTTCCACTAGGCAGACTCCTCAGAGTATTGGCTTGCCCAGGGTGAATATGCCTGAGGTGTCAAGCTAAGAAAACTATTTCCAATACACACTCACAGTAAAGGGCAAAGACTGTCCCCCAGCTACCTGCTACTTCCCTAGGTCATGTCCTCTGTGTAGGTTGGGGATCTTGAAGAGAGACTCCATAAGTGCCTGGGAGGAATTCTGAGATGTAACATGAACAGTTTTTGCTTTTGTTTTTGTTTTTTGCAAACATCCCTCTCCCATCCCTCCCTAAAATCCCTGTGTGCTATGAGTTGTGGTGTCCTGGGAGATGGCAAGAAGGAAGAGCAGTTTTGGCCCTAAGCTACCTGGTTTCAGGAAGCCATGACTGATCCTCTGGGCTTCCTGTCTCTTCTCTTTGCAGACAGAGCTATGACATCAGTATTGTTGCCCAGGTGGATCAGACGGGTTCCAAATCCAGTAACCTCCTGGACCTGAAAAACCCTTTCTTTAGGTAGGTTGACTCACTTGTCAGTGAGTGCAGAAACCCTCATCAAATCTCCGAGCCAGAAGGGCCTGGCCCCAAAAGGTCATCTTGTCTCACTTGAACTGGAGCTGTTATCCCTACCTGCACAGCATTCCATCTGGCCTCTGCCTGAGGACTCACAGTCCCCCTTCCCTCAAGCAGCCTGGTTAGTTGTCAGAGAGCTCAAACTGCACAAGTTCCTCCTTTGTTAGGCTCATGCTGCCTTTATAACTTATACCAATTTGTCTTATCTTCTGTAAATTAACCCCTAAGTTAAGCATTACTCATTCCTTCAACCCATTTTCTTTAAATCATCATTAGAAACCTCATCCTGATTACCATCCTACCCTTAAACAGCCCTCTCCTATTCCCTTGGCAGAGGCATAGAGAATCTGGTATCTGGTATTGCAATTCTTTATCCCTTGCTCTCATGCAACACCCAGCCCCCTTCCCAGTACACACCTATAGAGCACCCTAGCAGCTGTGGGAACAGAGGCCTGGTCTGCTCTGCTGACCTTGCCAGCTGTGCCAAGCCCCAAGAAGCAGCTTCTGTAACCACTTGGGTTTCTGCCAGATATACAGGTACGACACCGTCTCCTCCACCTGGCTCTCACTACACATCTCCGTCTGAGAACATGTGGAACACAGGTGGCGCCTACAATCTGAGCAGCGGGATGGCTGTGGCTGGTAAAGCTTCTTTTCTGTCCATTCTCTTCCCACCCAGTCCCAATCCTTCCCTCAGCTGGGCAGCTCCCCTTAAAGGGTCCATACCCTTTTCTGAGAATGCATACCTGTGCATATGCTCAGAGAAAGAGAGAGCGCAAGCAGATGGAGGTGTTGGAGGAATTTGGGTGGAGGCAGGGATAGGCCACCAGACTGGGAGTTAGTCGACTTCAGGGCAGATGCCCTAGGAAAAGCCATTGTGACATCCTGTCACAGATGAGCTCTGACATGTTCTCTCCCATCTCTGCAGGGATGCCAACGGCCTACGACCTGAGCAGTGTTATCACTGGTGGAGCCAGTGTCAGCCACAACAACCTTATCCCTTTAGGTTCGTGTTCTCTTGGGGGTGGGGAATCACCCTGGATCTGAGGATGTGGCGAAAGGGACTTGTGCATCACCCCTTGGGGTGGTGCTTCAGTCAGAAGAGCAGGGACCAGGGCATAGTCTCTGGAAAGAAACCAGTGGTCGCTGACAAATGATGGATGGGATGTGGGGCCTGTCGCCATCCTCTCCTTCCTCTGTGGGCCCTTCAGACCAGTGCCCACAGCTCTCTTGCTCTGCCGTCTCCTGTGTTGTGCCCATTTCTGTGTCCCCTCCCAACCCCCAGAGGCCGCTGAGCAGTGTGAGGAGGGGTGTTTTGAGTGTGTACCCTTGTGTGTGTGACTCCAAAGTATCCCGAGATCAACCCAGCATTTGTCACCCTGGAGCCCTCGTCCTTTCTGAGCCCTTCCTCATTCATAGTCTCCCTGCTGGGCACAAGTCAAGCATGGCTCTTCGACCTTGGTGTGCTTTCTCAGACCAAGGAATGAGGTGCCATCCCTGTGCCCCAGGGGTGGCCGAGACAGCCCCGAGCAGAGCCCCCAGCCAAAGTGCTGACAGCATTTCCCTTTCCTTCCCTCTCCCTGCACAGCCAACACTGGGATTGTCAATCACACTCACTCCCGGATGGGCTCCATTATGAGCACAGGGATTGTCCAAGGTAATGTGGCAGTGCCCAGGCAGGCAGGGAGTGTGTGTGTGCCCCCCCCCCGCCTCCCTATCCCCCTCTAGGGTCTTGAACTGACTGATGCTTGAGCTCTTGTCTTCTTGGGCGGACCCCTGGGCCAGCCCTCTCCCTCTGCTTCTCTACTCCTCTACTCCCCTGCCTTGCCTTTGCTCTCTGGTGGGGGAGGGGGAGATCACCGAGCTCAGATGTGGGGGTGGTTTCCATGACATAGAGTGCCTCAGAGATAAACTCAGCAATCTCCAACAGGAAATGGAGGCCTCAGCAGCCTCCAGTGCAGGGCAGGGTGGGACCTGGCTATATGGGTGGAGGTGCCAACGTGGAGGGAGCTGTGTTGGCATCATGTGACCCAGGTCCTGTCTGCCTCTTCTCCAGGCTCCTCCAGTGGCCAGAGTGGAAGTGGCTCCAGCACTCACTACCCAGTCAACAGCCAATTCACCATGGGGGGCCCTGCCATCTCCATGGCCTCCCCTATGTCCATCACCACCAACACAATGCATTATGGGAGCTAAAAATCCACCTCTGATCTGAACTGACCGCACCAGGAAACCAAATGAAGATTTCCCCTTCCTTCCACCTTGGTGGACTGTGCCCTCTCCCTAACCCCTGCCCTGACAGGGCAGTTTTTACCCTTGTACCATAGAAACAAACACCCAGTCAGCTCCTTTGACATGGGGACTTGTACACTTTTTTTATGAAATGTTGACACCTCTGCGTCTTGGCCCCGGCTGAGGCCCCGAGTGAGCAGGCGAGCGAGCATCGCTGTATTTTACAAATTTTACAAGAGATCATGTAGTGGGGGGCATTGCTCCCTCCTATCCCCTCCACCCTTGGTTTGGCATCTTCCATAACAGCTGTGTGTGGGGAGCCAGACTCAGGGGCACTGATCAATGGCCTGTGGGGGGCTGTGCTAAGTGCTGAGGGTTGGGGGGAGGCAGCCCCAGAAGTCTCATCACCTTTGCCTTTTTCCCTTTAGTCAGATCAACCATGTGACCAGCTGCAGGGACTAGTAAAGCTGACCCCCTAGCCTTACAGTGTCTCCCCGGGCAGCCCTCCCCCCCCCATTTGGATGAGGGGGAGGGTGAGGGTGGGGCTATAGGGGAGTAGCAGGTGGGGTTCCTCCTGCATCTCTGGGTCCTTGGACAGGATCAGCGTGTGACATGCTGCTTTTTTTAATTTTATTTTTTTACAAAAATAACCAGTGTCAATCCACAGACTCCAGAGGCCAGGCTGGCCTGGCACAAGCATGAGCCAGCTGCCCCTGCTGATGGACTCCGAAGATCACGGGGAAAGGGGTGGGGGGGAATAAGGGCGGGGGGGGGGGGGGGGGGGGGGGAAGCAATAAAGCCCCTGCTTCTGGCATGGCCGGCTAGCTGAGCGTGCCCAGTATGACAGAGGCCTCTGCACTCAGTTGGGAAGGCTGTGGCCCAGGGCCCAGGTAGCCTTGCTTCTCTGGGGAAGTCTGTGACCCCAGCACCAAAGGGTTCACCTCACACTTGAATGTACACACCAGCCCATGGCTGTCAGAAGCAGCCTCTTCCTTTTACCCTCCCAGCTCTGAGTGAACCATCACATCTTGCTGCTCTCCTGTCACCTGTGACCCCAGAAAACCTTAGGCAATTGTTCTTCCCTTCCCCTCTCCCTCCCTAAGAGAACAGGAGGGGCCCGAGGCTTTGGCCAGTACTGCCCATTCAGGGGTAGGGGTGGGGGTGGGGGTGGATCAGTCAGTACTGGCAGAAACAGAACCTAGATTTGTTATGGAAGACCCTGTTTTTCTTTGTAGTTCCCATTAGGCCTGTGTATTCCCTGTATCTTAGTGTAGCCTCCAACCCTCATAGTGTATCATTTTTGTCCCTTCCTTGGGTGCCTGGGAAGGGACCTTGCAGGGATTCCTTCTTGGGAAATAAAAACAGAAATGAGTGTTGTATCACAGGCAGTTTTCTTCAACTCCAGCCTGCCCAGGCTCTTAGCCCCCCGCTAATAGGACAGAATGGGGCCCCCTAAAGCAGGAGGGCCTGCAAACTCACGGATTGCTCCCTCCCTTTTGCCCCATTTCAGTATGTAAGAGAATAAATCAATTTTACTCTAGTAGCTTTTCTGTTCACTGGTTTCTCACAATGGAGGTGTCCAGTAGGCCCTAAAAAGGACAAGAAACCTTGTATACAGGTGAGGAGAAGTTCCATGTTTATATAGTCTCTTTAAATCACCTTTGCATAAAAAATAAACTTTTTGATTTGTAAGAAATGTCTTCAGATCAGCAGAATGAACACTGTGGCTCAGCACCAGAGGGCTCCTTCCATCAGTGGAGATCATGACCACTTGGCTGGGGAACCCTGCTCTGGTTGTTTCTTTCTCCCCCAGGATGACTAATGGTATTTGGTCTGTCAGCTTCCCCCAGCTGCTTAAAAAAAAAAAAGTAGAAACCAAGTGGAGGGATCCTCAATTATGTTTCTGCAAACCTGCTTGCTCTGTGAGCAAAGATTCCCTATTAAAAGGGGTGTGAGGCCAACTTTTCAAGGAAAGTCACCTGTGAAACTTATTGTCCCTCCCCTGGGGATGGATGGTTTGCTTTGTGACCACATCTCTCCTTAGATACTGGTTATTCTGCTTACCTCTGTTCTTTTAGGAGGCTGCAGAAGTCTTGGAGGAGCCAGGTGGTGTGACCTGGTGGAGTGGGGCTTGGGTCACAGGAATGGACCTCGAAGGCAGGGACTGGAAAAAATAGAACTAAAGCAAGAAGTCTTAAGTCACTGTCGAGGCTACAGAGCATCCCAGCTTGCCCATCCCTCTATACCCTAGACACCTGATGCTACCTTGCAGCCGATGGCCAGGAGGGCATGGAGGGCAACCATGACTGTAAGCAGCACTGCCGATACCACCCTAGTGTCTGAACGGACAAGAGGCCAGAAGGTGAGCAAGAGCACAGCCCCTGAAAGTGACACAGCCAGGACCCCAAGAAACCACTGAAGCCCCGAGATGGGGATCAGCCATAAGACCTAAGAGGGAGAGAGAGAGAGAGAGGTTACAGACTTCTGTCAGTACCTAATACCCCAAGCCCCCCAACCCTTCAAGCTGTCCTCACCACAGTCGGGATGTAGATGAAGAGGGAATATCCATAGACACACACAATCTCCAGAAAGGTATAGCAGCCAACACATTCTCCAACCCCTTTTCGCCACTGCAGGAAGCCCCACAGTGCCGTTGGTACCAGCCACGCGTAGCAGTAAATGGTGATCCCTGCAACAGTAACTGGGAGAGAAAGCCCAAATCACACCTGCTAAAGAGCAATTAGCTCTATAGCGCCCTGCTTGGGCCCCATTCTCCCACATCTGTGTGCACAAGAGGCCCATGCTCGCTCTGCTCCATCCTTGATGAGAACCCGCAAGGTGTGCTCACCTTTATGAAACTGGGGACTATAAGAAAAAGAAGCCTCTTTCCAGTTCTGCAGCACAGTGGCCAGGTTGCTGCTCACAGCCAGTGCGAAGGCCAGGGTAGCACATATCCAGAAAGGCCCTGGGGAAGGATGTACGTTTGATCCCAGTCCCACTAGGGATAGAGCTGTCCCCTGCCTCTAATCTCTCAGAAATCCTTTAGCTAGCAAAATAAAAACCTAGCCTTACCGTATAGGTCTGGATGATGCCGAAGACAGTGTCTCACAAAGTTCTGACTAGGTACCGGCAATAGTGAATTTTTGATCCTCTCCAGCACCTAGGATGGAAAGGAGAGCACCCACCATAATTATAGCCCTTAAATGCCTACTGCAGGTAGGGAGGTCACTGCCAGTACAAGGACAAATAAAAGTTGCCTTTAAGGAGTTTCATTGGAGGGAATCTACATGCACAAATAAGCATGACATGAGGCTATAGAGTATCACGATGAGGACAAAAGGAACATCCAGAAAAAGAGAAGGGGTGGGGGAGTGGGAAGGAAAGATCACTTTCAGCTATGTGCATCAAGGAGAAGAAGGTGACACCTTCAGAAGAAAGGATTTCAACAGAAGGGAGACAAGCTTGGGCAAAACAAATAAGCCTTCTTAGGCTTTCCAGAGGCCAGTAAGGAGGGGCCTACAGTTCCCCACCTTAAGTCTGAACTAGCCGGGAACCTTCACCTGATGCGTATCCACATCGAAGAAAGACTGGTGGTAGCTGAAGGTCCAGAAATTTGGAGGTTGTTTCTCACCCCCCAGCAGCTGTTAAGAGAAATGGTCAAAGGTGTGTCCCATGAAAGCTCCCAGCCCCCAGCTGGGTGGTAGGGAGTTTCGGGGAAGGCCTGAGCTCACCTGAGTCTGGTCATTCTCTTCTAAGTCTCCATCTTCTTGGTCCCCCGTGTCCACAGCCAGGCTCACATGGCCCTGCGGTTCCTCAAGGCTGGAGATGGTGGTAGCCCCCGGGGTCTCAGCAAGCAGGTCAGCAGCCGCTTCAAATTCTGTAGATGTGACCAGGGCCCCCCAAACGCAGAGCTGGCCATTGGTAGACCACACCTCAGGTGCCCAAATTCTAGACCTCCACTTCCCATCCCAGCTGTCCATAAATCTGTCCTTCCCTTCCCTTTGGGTTGTCAGCTCAGCCTCCCTCTGCCCTGCATTCAGCAGGATCTCAGCAACTAGTTCAGATATGGAGTTGGGCATGAAAGGGAAGCCTGTCCCACAGCACTGAGGGGGAATAAGGGGAAGGTCCATGCAGAACATAAGCGTCAGTTAGGTGGCAAAGTGGACAAAGCACTGAGACCGGGGTCAGAAAGACCTGAATTCAAATTCAGCCTCAGACACTTACTAGCTCTGTCACCCTGGGCAAGTCACTTAACCTCTGTTTGCCTCAGTTTCCTCATCTGTAAAATAGGAATAATAATAGCACCTACCTCCCAGGGTTGTTAAGAGAAACAAATGAAATATTTTTAAAACACTTAGCAAGGTACCTGGCACATAGAAGGTACTATATAAATATTAACTATTATCATTAGTAATAACAGTATTAGGAGGTTTGGGTCTCAAGAGGGAGCTGGAGAGTCATGGGCTCTGGGGGGTGGTCAAGGAGAAAAGGGGGGGTCAAGGAAAGGGCCTAGGGAATCTCCGAGGGAGGAGGTTGGGCGTCTGGAATGCAGGGTGGTCCTGTGGGTACGGGCGTCTGGAGTGTTTGAGGAGGGTCAGGGATAGAAGTTGGGGTCCCGAGTTTGGTTGGTCGGTGGGGGGCGTGGAGGGGAGCCCCAGGGCCTCATTACTCGTGGGGAGGGGCTGCTCACTCACCATGGAAGGTGAGCTCTTGGGGCGCAGCCATGGCCAGCACTCTCACCACATCTCCGGCCCTGCACCCCGCGGAGACAGGTCAGAGGTCACGTAGAGCAACCCCTCCTCCCCCGGGGCTCAATCTGCTGGAGCCCTGCTCACTCAACCCACCCCTCCTGTTGTCCACTGACTGCGTGGAACGCCTCCTCTGCGCCTGCGCCACCTGGATCCGGGTCGGGCCCATAGTCCGAGGGAGGGGAGAACAGGTTTACCTCTTGCCCTGCCCGTCCTCCTCCGCCGGGTGGCGCTGCTTATGGAAGTTCAGATGGTATACCCCGGTGCCGGGACGCTAACACTCCTGTCACTTTTCCCCGTTACGCCCATACAGAGGTGAGAGCTCCACTTATTCCCTTCCGGTGGGGAATCATTTCCGGCAGCGCCTTTGCTCAAACGAAGTGACACTGCAGTGTTGGGGCGAGGGGAATGTTTCCTTCCGGGCTGTTGGGGAGTACGGAGCAGGAAGACGATGGTGACCGCCGTGTTGTGGAGGAGAGTCTACTCTAGCGGCGCCGCCGCCGCCTTTGGGGGAGGAGGGGGAGCGGGCCCCACCGGGGTCGTAGCTAAGCCGGGCGTGTGGGAGCGGCTAGGTGAGTAGCGGCCGGGCGGGGTAGGCCGGGTCCCGGGCCGGGGGTAGCTCGGCGTCCTAGGCGCTCACGCCGCCTCTCGTCCGCAGGCGCTTGGGTCCGCGGGCTCCTGCATGACTACGCCGAGGCGTGCGCGGACGCGGCGGCGGCGGCGCGGGAGCGGCCCGTGCGGGCGGCGCTGTACGCGGGGCTGCTGGGCGGCGCGGTCGCCTGCGCCCTCCGGACCCCGGAGGAAGCCTCCTTCGAGGAGGCGCTGTTGGACGCGTCCGTGACCCTGCTGCTTCTGGCGCCCGGCACCCGCAACCCCGACTCGGAGGCGCACGTGCAGCGGCTGCTGTGGCTGCGGGGCCGGGGCCGGCTGCGCCACCGCAGCCTGGGCCTGTGCTCGCTGCTCTACGAGGCTCCCTACGACCCCGAGGCCAGTCTGTACCAGGCGCGCTGCCGCCACCTGCAACCGCGCTGGGCCGACTTCCCGGGCCGCGTGCTCGACGTGGGCTTCCTGGGCCGTTGGTGGGTGCTGAGCGCCAAGATGCGCGACTTCGACATCAACGACGACGAGTTCCGCCACCTGCCGCCGCACCTGCGCACGCTCGCCGAGCACCAGCTGCGCTCCGAGGCCAACGAGCGGCTGTTCGACCAGAAGTACCTGCCCGTGGTCCTCACGGAGGACCAGGTGGACCAGGCCCTGTGGGAGGAGCACGTTCTCCAGAAGGAGAAAAAGGACAGGCTGATGCTGAGCGAGGCCACCCCCGAGGAAATCGGGGCCCAGCCGGCCGCCAGGTGAAGCCCTGCTGCCCTCGGACTGCACGGGACTGAGCCCCCCACCCCCCCCACCCCGTTGTCTTTTTGCTCGGTGGTTAAGGGACGGAGCTTTAGTGAAATAAACTGTTTTTCCCTCTTTTCTCTCTCTTTCCCATCTTTTTTCCTCTTTAAATGAATTGGTACAGTTTGATGCACCAGGTAAGTAGAGTTGCTTTGGTTTTCCTTAGGTACACTCCAGGTTTTCCTGTCCCTTTCTTGCCAGTCAGTTTGAAGGAGACTAGCTGCTGCAGGAAAATAGTCAGACACAGAGCTCTGTATCTCTTCTCCTTCCCAACCACCAAATCTTCCTCTTTTCTTAACTTCTTTGTTATTGTTAAGGGAGGTCTGGAGTAAGGGTACCACCCAGTTGCTAAGACTTGTTGTTTCTACTTTCTTAACATCTGGTCTATATGTCCCCTCTTTGGCACTGCCACAGGGACCCAACTACTGCATAACCCTGCCTCAAGTATCTACTTCAGTCGTCTACTCAGATGTCAAATTGATCTATAAGTGCAGATCTGACTCTTTCACTGTCGCACACTCACAGTCTCCTCTCTTGGAGTAAATTCCTTTGGGGCTGTTAGTTCAAGGAACAAATATATTTCATTGTTTGGCTTCTAAAGTTTTTCATAATTTGACCCCATCCTACCTTTCTGGTCTTCTTCAGCCCATGCTTGGAACTCTCTTCACAGTCTATATCTCGTGGCTTCTCTGGCTTCCTTCCAGGTTCCAACTAAAATCCACCTTCTACAAGAAGCTTTTCACAATTCCCTTTAATGCTAGTGACTTCCCTGTGTTGATTTTACCCAGTTTATCCTGTCCGTGTCTTGTTCATGCATAGTCATCGTCTCCTCCATTAGTTCCTTGACAACAGAGACTGCCTCTTACCTTTCTTTGTATCTCTAGCACTTAGCACTGTGCCTAGCACAGGGGTGGGTAACCTGTGGCCTTCAAGCTACGTGTGGCCCTTTGACTGAATCCAAACTTCAGTGAACAATTCCTTTTATTAAGGGGATTTGTTCTGTGAGGTTTGGATTCAGTCAAAGGGCCACACTTGAGGACCTAGAGGGCCACATATGGCCTGGAGGCTGAAGGTTCCCCACCCCTTGCCTAACACTTAATAAGCGCTTAACAAACTTGTAGACATCATGTTGAGCTTATGTTCAGTCAGCGAGTCAAGAAGCGTTTATTATTAACATCTACTGTGTGCAGGCCTGTGCCAAGTGCTAGGAATACAGCGAAGGGCAAAAGATAGTCTCTGTTCTCAAGGAGCTCACATTCTAATGGGGGGGAGATAACTTGCAAATGACTATGTAAAAACAAGATTTATACAGTGTAAATGGAAGTAATTTCTCACCAATGGTTAATGGAAATAATGACAAATGGAAGTGATGGTTAAGCATTAGGTGGAACCAGAGACTGGGAAGGGCCTGCTGCAGAAGATAAGATTTGAACTGAGCCTTGAAGGAATTCAGGAAGCAGAGATGAGGAAGGGGAAAGCGTCCCAAGCTTGGGGGACAGCAAGGAAAAAAGCTTCTATTCCAGACAAGCTACACAGAAATCCTCTGCTCTCAGCCTTATTTTGAACCAAAAGCTTAATGGCTCTTCCATTTAATTTCTTGGTATGATCTTAGGCAAGCTATTTAGCTTCCCAGGGTTTCTACAAATGAAGGAATTATATTCTACATGATCCCTGAGGACCCTTCCAGATCTCAGCCCTCTGCACAAGACTAGAAGCAAGAACTTAACCCCCTGAGTACACCATTATCCTTTGAAATAGTCTCTTTGAAAGACAGACAGTGGTAACAATTATCTTGACCCTGTTTACACAGTCATATTCTTTATTTTTCCTGGGACTCATTATATGCTTCCACTTTTAAGTACCATCGTTATTTTCCTTCTGTTATAATTAGAAACCCCAGCAGAGGGTGCTAGAGATTCAGGGAAAATCAGTCATAGGTAGGGTTGCCTTACTACAGAAGTGAATTGCTTCTTAATGATGTGTCTTTATGGATGCATCGCTTTCATTTTGGTATTTGATAACTTTAGTTTTTACTCGTAGGCCTCTGGGACTCCCATGCTGCAGCTTTGTTCTGTGGTGCAGTTGCAGTTGGTCTGATGTGCCAGGCTTCCCAAGCTATTTCTGGATTTTAAGAACCCCAAGGGGAGAATGGGAAGCAGCACTCTGAAGGGAAAACACAGTCTTGTTCCTGGGTTTAACTGTGGTAAGTCACAAGTTAGGGGAGCCTTTGGATGGTTGTGTGTTGTGGCATGATTCTTCTCTCCACATTTATACACACATACACTCCTACTCCCCTTGATTTAAGAGCTAGAGATATCCACTCACCATCAAACAAGAAGCACTTACTAAGCTTCTACTATGTGCTACACTCAGTGCTAAGCATCAGGGAAAGGAGACAGAAACAAAATAAGCCCTCAAAGATTTGACATTTTCTGAGGGGGGGGTGGAAGTACACGTGCATATATGTGTCTGTACACATATGTAAAACAAAATACAGCCAGTTTTCACTTAAGGTAAGTGGACTGTTCCCCAGGCCTCCCTCTCCCCTTACGGCATTCTGCATAGCCTGCCCTCTCCATGGCTCTACAGCCTCAGCAGCTGGAATGGCTTCAGTGCCTGAAGCTGAGGATCCTTGGCGTGCGGACCCAAGGGGTTCTGCCCTGGGAGTCAAGTTTGTATAATGGGGGTTTATGTGAAGCGAGAACTGTATATAAAGTGATTCTGGGAGGAAGGCTTTATATAGCACAGGGCACTTCAGTGGAGCTCTGAGGGGAGCTGGGGTTCCAGGTATGGGAGGAACAGCCTGAGTGAAGGTGGGAGATAAGAATGGAATTTTTTGTAAGAAGGACAGAAACTAGACCAGTTTGGCTAGAATGTGAAGCATGTGAAAGGGAAGAATGCAAAATCAGCCTGGAAAGGTCATTTGGAACCAGACAGTGAAAGGCTCTAAAGACCCAACAGAAGAGTTTGCATTTTATTCTAGAGGCCATAGGGAACCAGTGGAACTTTTTGAGCAAGGGAATGACATAGAGCTGTACTTTAGGAATATTACTTAATATTTATCTAGGCCCCACAAGGGGCCAGTTGAATAAGCAGTCAGACTGTCCACATCTGGAGAAGGGTAAATTGTACCTTTGTCATAGACATCTATGTCGTCATCTTTGAATGAAAGGATGAATGAATGAAAAGCATTTGTTAAGCACTAACTAGGTGTCAAATAGTGTGCTAAGTACTGGGAATACAAATGCCAAGACAGTCCTTGCTCTCCAGGAGCTTGTATTCTAATGGGCAAAACTACCCAAGTTACAGGAATGATGGACGTGTTGGTATTGAAGGTTTCCTGGATAGTCAGTGGCGTCATAGGGGAATAGATTGACAGACCCTTTCTAACAGCTGTGCAGTATTAATAATGGTTTCCAAAATGCTCTGTACATCTCATTTTATTAGTATTGATTTGATTGTGGTTCCAGAAGTAAAAATGAGTGTATGAGTTGATGTACACCTGAACAGCAAGGGAACTGATTAGGGAGTGAAGTGAAGCCTGTCTGGGCAATGGAGGCACTCTCCAGTGACGATAGAGGGGCTGAAAAGGGTTCGTCCTCCAAGACATGATCCCTGAAGGCACTTCAGCAGGGCAGCAGTAAGTGCTCTTACCTTGATGTACTTGGCACAGTGCCTGCACATACTAGGCATGTGATGTTTATTGACTGACTGATGTGAGTTAACCGAGGCTAAGAGAAAATAGGGATAGAGTTTTCTAGTGTCCTTTATAAGTTCTCAAGCCTGTACTTGTATATCCTACGTATGTGTTTTATGGGCTAGATAGTGCATTTAACACTGACCACCATCTCCTGGGTACTCTTCTGTCCTGGGTTTTCATGACACCGATCTTTCATGATTCTCCTCCTACCCCTCAAGTTGCTCTCATCTCCTTTGCTGCTTCATCATCCGTGTCATGCCCCTTAACAGTGGCTGTACTTAAGCCTCTTCTGTTTTCTTTCCACAAACTCTTGTGACATCCTCAACTCCCATGAGTTTATCATCTTGATGCCGGGGGTTCCACAACTGATATATCCAGCCCTTCCTTGTCCTTGAGCTCCAGCAGTTCATCTGCAGCTGTCTGTTGAATTTTTCAAACTGGATGCCTCATAGGCATTCAAACCTGACATATCCCAAATGAATTTTATCTTTCTCTTCCAAACAGCCTCTTTAGAATGTAATGATTGCTGTTGAGGCCACCACTGTCCCTCTGTACCCAAGGTTCAGAACTTCAGCATTATCCTTGACTCCTCAGTCTGAACCCCACAGAGCCAGTTACCAAATCTCCTCTTTACTATTTCCAGCCTCTCGCTGGAAGGGCCTTCAGGCCCTTATCACACGGCAGTTAGGTGGTGCAGTAGATAGAGTGCTGGGCACTCAGGAAGACCAGAGTTCAAATCTGGCCTCCAACATTAGTTGTGTGTCCTTGGGCAAGTCACTTAACCTGTTTGCCTCCGTTTTCTCAACTGTAACATGGGAATAATCACAGCACCTTTCTTCTTCCAACCATAGGGTTATTTGGAGGATCAAATGGGAGCATATTCATCATGTGCTTATCACAGTGCCTGGCCCATAGTAGGCTCTGTATAAATGCTAGCTATTATAGTATTACTATCACTTCTTCCCTAGACTATTTTAACAGTCTAATTGGTCATCCTTGTCTTCAGTCTTTCCCCTTTCTAATTCAGCCTAAGAGTAGCTGCCAAAATGATTATCCTAAAGTGCAAATCTGACAGTCATTCCCCTACTCCATAAACTCTAGTGGTTCCCTGTTGTCTCTGAGATCAGACGTGAGCTCCTCTGTTTAGCCTTTAAAGACCTTTACAGCCTGATCCCAGCTTACTGTTCCAACCTTATAAAAGACTCCCCTTTCCTCACTGTACCACCCAACCAAGAATGCCCTCTTCCTCCTCTTCACGTGGCCCCCTTCTCTCCTGGCTCCGTAACTGTGCACTTGCTATACACCCAGCCTAGAATGCACTTCTTCTCCATCCCCCAACTCCCTTAGAATTCCTTGTTTCCTTCAAGATTATTTAAGCAATGCCTGCATCCAGCTGCTATTGCCTCTCCTCACTTGGCCTCATTTGTTTTGAATATGGGCTGATTCTCTGATAGAATATATGATCATTTTTGTCTGTATCCTCAGGCCCTGCGCAGTGCCTTACACATAGGAGGTGTAATATGTGCTCATTGATTGACTGATAAGAGAAAAGGGGAATAGGGTTTTGTTCAAGAGTAACTAAAAACTTTTGCTTTGTTTCTACTTTATGTAAAACTTCTTGGAATGCAGCAGGCAACCGTTCCTAGGGTTTTCTAGCCCTTCTCTGTATCTGACAGAGGCGACATAACAAGGGTTATAGATTTCCCCTCCTCTTTATCAGTTTTTTCCTTTCCCATTTTTCTGTACCATGATTGTCCTTGTTCTTTTAGTTACCTTTTTGTACAAATGTATTTTTTCTTTCTACAGATAACATTGAGGTTATGGACTGCAGCTCATATCTCTACCTCTCTCCATCTCTTTGTTTCTATGTGTGCGCACAAGTGCGTGCGCCCTCTCTCTCTGTCTCTCAGAATCCCTGGTTTCCTTCAAAATTCAACTCTATTTTCTGGGGGAGACCTCTCTTGATCTGTCCCAGTTTCTGGTGCCTTGCCATCTAAAGTTACCATGTATCTCTTTTGCATATATCTTTTATAAAGTTATGAATGTGCATGTTAATAATATTAATTAGTATTTGTAGAATGCTTTAAGGTTTACAGAGCACTTTACGAATATCTCGTATGATTCTCCCAACAACCCTGGGAAGTAGGCACTATGTTTATCCCCATTTTACAAAAGAGGAATCTGAAGTCAAAAAACTATGAAGTGTCTGAGCTTAAATTTGAACTCAGATCTTCCTAACTTCAGGTCCAGCCATCTCTTTACTGTGTCACTTATCTGTCCATTAGAATGTATACTTCTTCAACAGTTAAACAGTTTTGATTTTGACTTTGTGCTTAACACAGGACCTGGCACATAGTAGGAATTCTGTAAACATTTGAGTAGCGAGTACATGCTAGAATTTTGTCTCTAAACCAGTTGGAAGAAGAAGGCAAAAATTTAGCCAGTTTGCCTCCAGGTCACATGGAGCAGGAACTCCTTCTAAGGTCAGCCCAGCTCCCTAGTATGTTATCTGCACACCCACATTCGATGATATCTACAGGTCTTTTGTTCAGATCTCCCCAAGGAGCAGCTACAAAACTTGGAGACCAGATTGTAGGTGAAGCGAATGTCAAAAACCTTGCGTGTATGGGAAGGCCTAAAAAGAGAACATTAATGCAGCCAAAGTGGGCATTACTTCAGCACCAAAAACCGTATGTGAGGTCATTTGAATGCAAAGTCAGACCCTGCAGAAATGTTACTTCATCCTGCTCTTGGGTCTAGGTGGATGGATGGTTTGGGAGCCTAGAAGAGTTTCTGCAGCTTTTCAGCAGCCATTATGTAAATCAAGCTGGGGAATTTCTCTGGCTCTCTTTTGTCTTACTTCCTTTGGTTCCAGCTTAACTGGATAATTTATATTCTCATGATTGGGAATTTAAAAGTTTCTTTGATCTCACTCCAGCTAACATGAAAGTTTTATTTACAGCCTTGGTCTTCCAAGTAATCTGACTCACATAAGTAGAGGGAGGCTCACCCTTAGCGTAGTCACCCCAGTAGAATTGAAGCATGCTTAGCCAGCCCAAAATAGCTTTGCTGTTTGACAACTAAAGCGTCTAAGTGGTGTCATTTAGTCTTTCCAAAAGAGTACTGACAGCCAGTACTGGGTGGGAGCATAGTGACAAAGAGTCAGTCAGACTCAAAGTTATATCACAAGAGAGGGAGTAGTCTCTTTAGATACTTCATAAATGTTTGTTTAAGTGTTAGTGGGGTTTCCCAGAACCAAAAATTTTTCTTAAAAAAATAAAATTTATAAACTAGAAAATCATCAGCAAAGAGGAATATTTCCATACATTCAGTGGATAGAGTGCCAGGCATGGAGTCAGGAAGACCTGAGTTCAAATCTGGCCTCAAGACATATTAGCCTTGTGATCCTGCACAAGTCACTTAACCC